TTTTTTTTTTTTGAATAGTCAGGTCTGCTCGAGGTCAGGAGACCGTAGACTGACTGACTACATTTGTTTATTTACTTCTACACTATTGTCAAAACTGTCACTGTTACCAAGCCTACTGGGTATAAAAAAAATTTGAACATTTGGGGAAAAAACCGCGTTTTTCAAGTATTCGGCAAATTTTTTCAGTATTTTTAAGACCCTATACTAAACTCGTTGCGGAGACAAATCCAACAAATCAAAAACCATGAAAATTGGTTCAGCCCAAATCAAGTTATAAGCAGTCTTCACTTTTACACAACTTTCTTTTATATATATAGATTTTCGAATATTATGCATATAGGAAAGTATATCAATTCTGATTAGTAGCTACTAAAGCAATTAGTGCTCATTTTTTCGGTTCTTCAAGAAATTTCGAAAAAATGGCCGATTTCTTGGATTTATAACTCAATAAAATAATGTAGTTCATGTACACATAACCCATCAGAATATGAACTGAGCCATACAGCCATATATATAGGGCGAGTCATTAGGAGTGCTCGAATTTCTTGACAGTCTTAGCTATAAGCTGTAAGCAAAAATATATAAATATGATTTTTGTAAAGCATGATTATTGAATGACAGTAGCGCAATAAGCTCGCCCAGCTGGCTTATCGCATATTTATGCGTGCTTATATCACTACTAATTAAAAGTCTTAATAGTGTATCATATTGATTTTTTGTGTTTGGATTGATGGGCTTAACGGAAGCGAGTTTCGCTAAATGGTAATTGCCCGCGATAAGCTGATAATATACAACGGCCCGTGCGTGACTTATAAATATGAAGGGGATCAATGGGTTCCGGGTAGTACGCCAATGACAGGCGGTAAGACAGCAACGCGGCCCGACTCCTTCCAGCAGGAGCGGGACCAGCAGAGACGCCACAATCCTGACCAATGCAGCTGGCTAAGCCGCACTCACAAGAACCTGCCGCAGTGGAACGCGCTCGGGGCTGGCTCGCTCATCTTCGTTTCAGGTGGCATGAGCTTGGCCTGGGGCGCCGGCTTTGCAGCGCACTCGATGCATGTGGAGCTTCTGCAGCTGACGCTCCATATGAAAATCAGTTGGTACGGAGCGGCGCTGCTTGGAGCCGCGTTGAGCGCAGTGTTGACCCACCGGACACCACAGCGACCCGTTTATGTGAGTATGCCCTAGCCATCTTCTACTCGAAGGCATGAGGCTAATCAATATGCGTCTGCCAACAGGTGGCGAGCTCTTGCCTGGTGCTTATCTGTGGCATGCTTTACCTCACGCTGCCGGAGCAACCGAAGGCCATCATTGCCGCCCGCTACTTGGATGGCTTTGCCAATGGCCTGGTCTTTGTGCCCACGCTAACCACAGTGGGCGAGCTGTCTGTGTGTGAGATGCGGGGCATCTTCTCCGCCAGCCTCGAGCAGCTGAGCTACAATTTCGGCATCTTTATCCTGCTCAGCTACACGGCCATCTGGCACAGTGGCTGGAATGTGACCATTGTGGCCGACCAGGTGCACGGCCTGCTGAGCATTGTCTATGGCGTTGTAGCCCTGGCCCTGGCGCTGACCTGCTGCGTCGAGTCTCCGGTGTATTTGCTGCTGCGGCGCAGTGAGCAAGCTGCGGTGGATGCTCTGCGCCATCTGCAACGTCCATTCGTAGTGACGTGCGAGACCTTCCTGCTGCTGGACGAGCACAAGCGCTACGTTGCTGCCAACCTAGACCTGAGCTGGTGCCAAAGTCTTCAGCGGGGTCTCGTGCCACTGATAAAGATTATTGCTCATCGCTCGCTGTACGCCCTCAGCCTGAACACCATTGTATGGAGAGCTCTGTATGATACAGCCGTGGAGCTAACGCCCCACGCGCACACCTGGCCCTATGTGGTGTTTGGCACTTTGCGCTGGAGCGGCTCCGTCTGTGTTGTCTTCCTGATGGACTCCGGTGGCCGCAAGAAGCCCTCGCTCTTCGGCACCTTCGCTGGCGGCTTGTTCGCCGTTGCCTTTGCCAGTCTGCTTGACCGCGTGCCTCGCATGATCGCTGCTCTGACCATATTGTTTTTCTTTCAATTCTTCGCGGGAGTGGCGCATGCAGCTTCCGCTGTCTATCTGACCGAGGCCTTTCCACTGGCGGTCAAGCCGTACCTTGTGGCTCTAGTCTATATCGCTGAGCTGATGATCAGGATGGGCTGCTGCATGGTGACGCCCACACACACCGACATATCGCTCTACTTTTATGTGCTGGGGGGCATATCCTTGAGCTTTTTCTTACTAGGCATTTTTTGCTTGCCCGAGACGAGGCTGACAACTCTGACAAAGGCGCACTTTAAGTTACGAAAATGGTTCAACGAGGACTTCTGAACTCTGAACTAAACTAACAACAGCAGGATAGTCAAACCGACAACATTGCTATGAAAGAAGCTGTTTTTTATTAAAATAAAACTAAGTTGAGCTTGTCAGAATTGATATAATTTATTATATTAAAATCAATTAACATTAATATCTATATCCATATAAGAGCAAGTCATGTCAGTTGCTTGTATTCTAACGAATTTTTATGATTTCGATGTTATTGAATTTGTATTCATGAAAGAGATAATTTTCGATGTGCGAAATGAGATTATTCACGTATTGATTAGAATCGAGCAGAGTTTCGAATCGATTGGAATGCTTGCCTTTCCCAAGGTAATCCAAGAATGCTATAAATACCATTGCAAATCTCATTATTATGTATATATTATAATTAAACACAGATGTCAGCCTAGGAAATTCCAGTTCTTTAAATGAATTTTTGAACTGCTGACCAAAGCCGCTTACGACTCCCCCTCTCTCTTTACTCTTTACTCTTTACTATGAGTTACATAACTGCAAATTACGAATAAATTGAAACTCTCGATAGTCAATCTCAGAAGGCCGAGAAAATGGTTTGTACTTCGACAACAAACTTTTTCATTTCATTTTTTTTTTTTTTTTTTTTCTTACACTGTCGTTTTAAGATAATTACAACAAATTAGTTTTTTGTTTTTAGAATGGTTTTGCAACACGGACGTGAGTAACAACAGAAATTCGATTACTTAATACCGTGGTAGGCAGACTTCCAGCCATTGATTTAGCTGATGCACATTCCTGGCCGCCAGAGTGAACGAGGCGAGGGTCAAGACGCCAAGCCCCACAATAGAGCTACGACGACTGAAAAGCCAACTGAATAATGAAGTCAACGTCAGCCTCTGCACTAGCTGTGACGATCTTCATAGCCAACGACATCTTCCAAGCGCTCCCGTTCTCTATACCTATTGCGGTTGCTTGCTTGCCGCTGTTGCTGTTGATGTTGTCCCTGTTGCTACTGTTGCCACTGTTGCTGCTGCGGCCTATTGCTGGCCTGATGCTGCTGTTCGAGATGCTGATTGATGAGTTGCTGAAGCTGTATCTTCTTCCACTGTCGACGGCGTATGGACAGCATCTCGCAACGTAGATCAGCAAATAGCGCACCCCCAGCTGCTTCAGGGGGTGCAATTGGGAAACGTTCAAGCAGCGCAGAACCCTGCCACAAATGGAGTAGTTCCAGCCGGGGCACCACTCGGCCATGTTGTAGGCGAACTCCTACTGTGAGCGAGTTTGATCGTAGCTCTTAGCTGCTATCACTGAGAAGAGCTCGTTTTTATATAAAAAAAGGGGATTTTTCCCATGAAATGACTCAGTCAAATTTGATTAGAAAAATCGCTTAGTCGACCAAAAAAGTGTTTCGTTAGGTTCTCTTTTAACTGTCTCATATAATAAAGCAGATAAGAACTTTTATAAAATTTGCGAAATTTGAAGTGTTTGATTTATACTTGAACATGGTTACACAAAGGTGGTATTATATTTATATGTCTAACCCGCATTTGCTATTTTATATGAACAATGTGATAGGCGCTGTTGTCACCAATACACGTTTAGGGTTCGACTGTGATTCCGGGTGAGGCTTATCAGCACAGCGATAAGCGCATATCAAGTCCCGCGTGTCGAATTCGTCAAAAACTTTACAAAAAATGCCTGACCATGGACTTGAGCTTTCAGTTGCCAAATGCCAGTGATCCGAAGCAGTTGAGGCTGGTTCATCAATAGCGAAATGAACGATAAACATATGCCACCCCAACCACCAGCGTATGGCTTTGCGTCAGCGCCAACCGATGGGTCGCAGAACTACCCCCCACAAGGTTATCCCCAGCAAGGGTATCTGCCTCAAGGATACCCACCGCAGGGGTACCCACAGCAAGCATACCCCCAACCAGGATATCCTGTGCCACCTCCAAGCTTTGCACCGCCACAAAGCTATGGAGCGACGCCTCCGCAGAGCTATGGACCAGCACCGCCACCACACGCCTATGGACCTACTCCACCACAAAACTACGGGGCACGCCCACCACAGATGTCAACCACCATAATAACAGTGCAGCCCAATGGCTGGTACAACCGAAACCAGCGGAACAAGCCACAGTCCAATGCTGTGGGAGCTGGTACGTACGGCTGAATCATCTGAAATTACTCAGCTGGCCATAAAAATAAGTGCTCTAGATAAGATGTACAGTGCCAATCTACCTTGCGCTTGGCTAACCTGACTGTGGGCTTTTCAGCTAGCCATTAATGCCTGCAATTCAATTACTAAATATAATTTTCTATGTTTTCAGCTGCGCTCATCTTCATTTCGGGTGGCATGAACATTGCCTGGAGCATCGGCTTTCACAGTTGGTATTTTTCTTTTGCTCCTCTGCACACGCGCGTTGCATGGTTTATAGGTGCCATCATCGGAGGCGTGCTTAGCTGCTTCGTGGCTAACAAGCTACCCAAGAAAATTGTCTTTGTAAGCATGCCCGCATCATGGCCCGAATTTTCAAATGCAACCTCACATTCTTCTTCTTCAGTGCTTCTGCTCACTTCTTGTGATGATCGGGGGAGTCCTAATGGCAGCCACGACTTTCAACATCAGAGCCATTGAGGCGAGCCTCTATCTGGATGGCATCGCCAATGGATTAGCATTCGCCCCAGCCTTGGCATTGACCGGCGAAGTCTCAGTGCCTTACATGCGTGGAGTGACGGCTTCGACCATTGAGCAGATGTGCTACATGACTGGTTTCTTCATTCAGGTCATATATATGACATCGTGGAACACATCGGACATCAGCAGCTTCAATGGCGAGAATATGCACGGAGTCCTGTCCGCTGTCTATGGACTGATTGGCCTAATCGTTGCCTGCTTGCTGTGCATTGAGTCGCCAGTGATATTGCTGGCCAATGGAAACGAGCAGCAAGCTCTTGATGCACTGCGCCGCCTGCAGCGCCCCTACACGATGACCACAGAGACTTTCGTGCAGCTGGAGGAGCACAAGCGTTATCTGGCACAAAACGCAGAGCTCTCCACTGGCCAGAGCATTGTCCAGGCCATGCCAGCCTTGTTGCGTCTCTGCTATCTACGGGCCCTTAATGCCATGAGCCTTTCTGTATTTGTGTTATACGCCCTAGTAATGTCCCAGTCGCTTTTATATATATCGCTATACACACTTACCTGGCAATACATAGTATACAGCGGCTGTCGCTGGCTGCCAGCCTTCATCATCAGCTTATGCGTGGAGTCGGCGGGCCGCAAGAAACCAACGCTTCTGGGTCTCCTGGGCTGCGGTGGCATGGCCATTGGAATTGCCAAACTAATCTATGACCTACCCTACATAGACAGGGATGCCTTATTTATCATCGTGTGTATTTTCCAAGTTTTTGCTGGCATTGCATTCTCGGGCACCTCTGCCTATCTGACTGAAGCGTTTCCACTTAGCGTCAAGCAGCATTGCATTGCCTTCACCTTCATTGTCGAAATGCTGATCTATATTATTACCTCATCTGCTTCCTACAGCCAGACAGGTCATGGGATTTACTTTTGCATTTTGGCTGGACTTTGCTTGCTTGGCTTTCTGCTCGGTATCTGGTGTCTGCCAGAGACCCGGCGTACTACACTACGTGAGTCACAGGAAAAATTCAAGGGTTTCCTGAGCAAGGGCTTTTAACGGGCTGTCCATCTAAGCAACAAAATCTAACATTATCTGTAATACGAACTTTTACGCTTCAAAAATAAACACTAATTAATTTAATCATCCCATTTGGGATAGCTATTATAATGAAATTATGATTGTATCTATATATATACTATGAATCAGCATCTACAAATATCGCATCGCCTAGCTCTACACGGCAAAGACTAAAATTTATTATCGGGTAATCCCCAGCCATCAGAGAATGTGATATGGGGTCATAAAATACGGTCCGTGCCCAGTGGGATTCGACACTTACGAATCGCATAAAAAGGTAATATTTTATTTGGTATCATTCGATATCAACAAAAAGTAGGTATGGACGCGCTGCTGTTAGTTTCATAGAGCTAAAAACTCTTTTGCCGTTTCCGAGCGAAATGGCAGACGACAAATTTTTATTATTAGAGCCACTGGAGTGGACTTTTTTGGCAGAACCGGATCATCAACCTACAGAAGGGAGACAGAAAGTCACTGTTTTTCAGCCCTACCCTACCTTAACAGAGGTACGCCGAGCAACGCCCACCCACAACAACAACCACTAGCGCCTCAGAGCACCTTCAGCGATTGCTTTGACCATGCAGAAGCCGAAGGCAGCTTAGATTGCTTAAACCATTAATTGTACGAGCGAATTCCCCTAAAAACATTTGACGAGCAATTTGTGGCATATCTAATCAGTATTTATCTAATCAGCTTTATAATTTATATTGAACTATTAATGTAGATAAGCTTATTGCGCATGCATACTCCAGTCTATTGTATGTATACCTATTCTGTACATATTTATTAACTAAATATATTTATCTGATTTGAATAGCATATGCTAGATTTACCACAGTAAGTAAGACATTTCGATTCTTATGTTGGAAACAGTGTCCCAGGACATGGCTTAAGCAAATGGTAAACTCAAACACGTTTCATGATTTGGCAACTTGTCTGTTGCTCTATATCTGAAAAGCTTTGCGAATGCTCATATATATTTTGGCAAATCTCAGTCAAAAGGGATCCGCTGCTTTGCCTGGTAAATGTAACGTTTTTTCACAGCTGGCAGGGCACTCACTATGTGGTCGGACTCTAAAAGCTTATGCAAAGCTTTGCTTACCAAGCGCTCTCAATACATTCAATACAGCCACGTTCATATTCTAAGCCCTTTAGAACTTCTCGAACTGATCCCATATCATACATGTTCTGTTTGGAATAGCATATCTAGGCACGCTGGAGCATATGTCCAAGTCGGATACTCCCGACAGGAGCTTTCTTACTTGTTCTTAACTATTATCACAAGCAATATAAACGTATTTTCTTGCACTTTGATCAGTTCGAAGTGGGAGCTCTATGTCAAATTCAGTTCTATCGGCATGCAAGATCGGGAAGCACTAGATTAAAACTACCGCTAATTTGGCATGTGCTATTTAGGATTTAGTATTAATGTGAAGCAGTTTCCACTACGTTATATTATGTTATGACGGCAAGCTCAATCAATGAAGATTTTTAGATATTTATTTAAAACGCAATATTTTTACTTAAATCGTTTTTCTTTTTAATTGAACAAATATGTTTTTATTTTATTTATTTTTGTTTTTTTTTTTTTTGCAAGGAGACAAGAAACCATTTATACATGGCATTTTACTATTCCCAAGCAATATGTACTTATGCAAACGACTGCAAACGCTATCAAGACCCAGAATAATAAGCCAGATAAACTAAAAACAATACATTTTTATCTTGAGAATATGACTTTGTATGTCTGTTGAAGGTCGAAAAATCCACCTTACATTGTTAATAAACAAACATTGAGTCAGAGTTGTTTATGAAAACAATAGCCAAATAGCATATATAATACTGTGAGTGTAAAAAAATTCTTTGGACAGAGCGAGGAAATGCCAAAGTAGCAAACGGGTTGATATATAAATAAATATATATATAATCAGTATAAAAGTCTCACCGCACTTTTTTCTGATATAGAGCTCATTCCAAAAACTTTCTCTTTTTTCCAGGTGTTCACCTGTACAAAAGCGAATTTACCTATGTTCACAAAGAGAAACATTTGCTATCTATCGAATGTACTCAAAACTCAATACAAACATGGATAGATAAGTCACTGGCTGAAGGGTTGCGCTGTGGTTGTTCGATAACGATGGCCGCTGATTCTATGTATGGACTCTTAGCATTTGTCAATCAGTGCGATAAGAAACGTTTACCAATGGATAAGTAACACCGAAACCTGTTCGCTCCGGAGTCGAAAATATTTTGATATTTCGGTTCGCGTAGTGTTCTCTTGTGCCTCGACATAGAAGGACGTACACACAATAGACATGGAACAAAAGAATGAATATCACCGAACGATGTCACAGTCCACCGTGGGCTACTCGCCACTGCCCGAGCCATCAGCCCAGGAGTCTCCTCCGCGACGCCAAATACTCTATGAACAGCCAACCAGCTGTTGCATTCGTGATATGCGCAATCAGCCTCAGGCGAATGCCTTGGGCGCTGGTAAGTCTTAAATCATTCAACAAGTTCATAGGACGGAAGTATTTCCATGAATTTCGAGGCTACTCATTATTTTTGTGGTTTTTCTGAAGTGATATTCAGATACTTGCATTGGTAAGAATAGAAAATTTTGATGACTCATAAAGCAACACAAATTGTATTATTTATAACCGAAGGTGATTTTTAAGTTCCTTGTAGAATGAAACTTCAGTCGATAAAGTCATTGTCATATCTTATGCATTTATTTCACTCCTCGTACAGCTGCTTTAATCTTCCTGTCGGGCGGCATGAACATAGCCTGGAGCATAGGCTTCGACAATCTGGCAGACGAAATAGTAATCTGTATGCCTCTACGGATTTCTTGGTTCATCGGGGCTATCATCGGATCCGTGCTCGGCGTGGTATTCTCCAGGTGCCTCACCTACAAATTGCTAATGGTACGTACAATAGCTGGTTGCACATGTAGATAATCTAACTGATAAGCGTTTTATTTCCTTCAGCAACTCTGCTGCCTGCTCACCATTGTTGGCGGCATTCTATTTACTGCGACGCAGCTGAATGTGGATGCCATGATGGCTGCGCGTTTCCTTAATGGATTGGCCAATGGACTCGCGCTGCCCGCCACCTTGTCCACAGGCGGCGAGTTGGTGGTTTTTTACAAGCGTGGAACTTACGTGTCCGTCACAGAGCAGCTGAGCTGCACACTGGGCATATTCATGCAGATCGTGTTCAGCGTCAGCTGGAGCCCGGACTATGATCTGACGGCGGACCAGCTGCAGGGCGTGCTCTGTACCATTTATGGGGCCATTGCACTCTTCCTGGCCACCGTATTCATTGTGGAGTCGCCAGTGCAGCTGCTGATCCAGGGCGAGCAGGAGCTAGCCATCGATGCACTGATCCGCCTGCAATATCCCAAAGCCGTGACGGTGGAAACCAGCGATCAGCTGACTGAGCACAGCTCCTACGTAGCCCAAAACAATTCACTGCGCAGTACTGAGGCTTGGTGCCAAGCACTGCCCGCTCTGTTGCGTCTCTGCCTGCTCCGTGCACTCTACGCCATGAGCACGAGCATGCTGATCGTCTTTACGCTCACGCTGGCCAGCACCAGTGTCTATGGACTCAGTAGCGGTCCGTACGTGCTCTTTGGCCTGCTGCGGCTGGCGGGCAGTTGCAGCGGCGCCTTTGTCCAGGACACGCTTGGTCGGAAACTGACTCAGCTGATTGGCTTCATGATATGTGGGGCTGCGTCTATTGGACTGGCTACCAGGTTCTCGAGTGCAGACTTCGTTAGACTGCCAGACTTGAGGAAGGCTGTGTGGATGCTCTTGATATTCCAGTTCTTTGCCGGCCTCGGATTCGCGCCCAGCTCGGTCTACTTATCGGAGGCCTTCCCGCTGTCCGTGAAGCGCACGTGCATCGCCATCGCCTATATCGTAGAGCTAACTATTCAGCTAGCCGTGTGCTACGTGGAGCTCAATGTGCACACCAACTGCATCTACTTCTACGGCCTTGGCGTGTTTACGCTGCTGGGCTTTTTGTTCGGCCACTGGTATCTGCCAGAGACCAACTACTTGACGCTGCGTCAGGCGCAGCAAAAGTTTCGCGACTTCTCCTGAAGCAGTCGGCTCACCAAGACTTTTTGCCATTTAATATTAGCTAGATGTAGGCAAACGTAGTAGCTCCATAAGGAGCACCTTTTGCACATATTCCTATATACATATATTTATTGAACGACTGATAACGGCTGTAATACCCTGCAATTATCCGAAACTCTTGCAATAAGTGTCTAATCAGCGGCCAATTCTGGCATCTAGTGCTCGCTCATGACTATAAGAGGATAATACAAGTCCAGTTTTGAATCCTGTTAAAGAAAAATTGACTGTTTTTATTTTTATTATTTTATTATATATGCCATTTTATTTATAATTATTTGCTTGACGTTAACCAAATGATAAGAGTTCGATTGCTGAAATATTTACTATCAATCGCCAGTTGAATGACGTACAAATATTGCGAAATCCATCAACAAATGATTATGCACCTCTGACTGCATTTATCTGCTAACACAAATATAAATATTTGTTATGTCTACGCTAGACGACAGACAGACAGTAATACCTAATTAGGACGAGTCGGAGAATGTTTGTTATAGCTTATAAATATTAATATATTATAAATGTATACACAAATATATACCTAAGACATCATGCACTTGCGTTTGATTATTGTATTGCCCTTTTTTGATAAAAGTCGATAAAACACACATGACTTAAGAGCAGAGAACCAACTAGAAAGAACAATAAAAATATAAACAGAAAATGGAAAGGCAGAGAGACACATAGCAATAGAGAGAGAGAGAGAGGGAGAGAGAGAGAGAGAGAGAGAAAAATACAATATTCATGTAGGTTTAACTGCAAGAATGAGCAAAGATAAGATGAAGCCGATTGATACTGCAATAATAAATGTATGAAACTTCTAATCAAAACCTTGAATCT